GGACCTGACCTCAGCAGAGAGCCATGAGCCGCCCGTCCTCAGCCGGAGGAGGGGGGCTGGGGACTGGTAAGGCAGGTGGGGGGAAGCATGGGGCCGCCGTTGTCCAGTCTACCATTACCGTGTCAGGTTTGGTCTCTCCGCCCCCCGCCCCGGCTCCCTGTTTCGACTACCTGCTGCACTGTAGTCGACCAAAATACTGGTCGATTTTGAAATTCCCCCCAGACATTTTTTTAGGTCTGAAAAGTAGGACATGTCCGGGAAAAAGAGGACGTCTGGTCACCCTATTAAAATAAAGCCAAACTTTTTATCGGTTTACCTGGTCACGTCATACTTGCTTACTGCATGTTGTGTGCGCAACTTGCGTAAAAAAGGTGACGTAAGTCGTGCTGCCCAGAGCCCTAGGCTCTGGTGCTGCCTGGAATTGATTCGTTAAGCGAGCTGCCAAACGGTTCCATGGAACTGGAACACACAGAACTGTTTCTGAACAGGAACTGGTTTACGAGGCCCCTTCCTAGCAGTATCGTATTATGGAATGATAACTTTAAGCCACATAAAGCAGTTTCTGTTTAATGATTAACAAAAATGACAGACATGTTGTGATATCTTTCATTTAAAACAGATGTTCATCAATTATTCCCTTCATCTTAACTTTTATAGGTAGGATCTGCAACATGTTTTTATTTGGATTTTAACATGTAGACAGAAATAAAGAGTAAATGCATGCTCACTTTGGATGTAGGTATACACTGTGTGATATTAACATTGCACGCAGCTACAGCCCCAACTGTACAACGAAACTAGAGGGTTTAAAAGTTCACAATGGATGTTCTCACACTGTGCGGCCTGATGCTCTGATGCAACCTTACAACGGCTGACTGGATTTCAAACATGTTTGATTTTCTCCCGATCTTACGATTCCTGATCGGAAGGTGGTCGTGAGAGGCCGATCGCCCCTCTTTATCACCTGTACACTACATGACACAGTCTGACAGTCGGCCCAATCGAAAAATTCTCGCATGAATGGAGAATCGGCCTGAAAAGGGCATAAAAATCGTACAGTGTATGTCTGGTGTAGGTACCAGATCTGCTCGGGTCCTGCGCATGTCAGTGACATTATTCTATATGATTAGCTGAACATTGCCACATGATGTGAAACATTGTGGTTATTCTTTTTTCTTTTGAGAACCACCCTGGGGCTTCAGCAGAAGGATGAGCGCAGAAAAACACTGAGATCTGACGATAAGTGTGAAAGAATGGAGAAAAAAAGGGGAGGAGTAGAAAACGTGCCAGTTCAACCCTGTGACCTCTGTCTCATAAAACACAACATAGATCAGAGGCAGCTAAGAAATCTGGGGTTCTTTCTGTCGTTGAGCCAAAACTGTTTATACAGTTGATTTTAGCATAAGGAATTAAAGGTAAACAAACTGATAAACCTTTTATTAATACTACAATATGTCATGTATGAATTTGTTTTTCTGCTTACCCAACAGAATGTTGAACAAAACAATGGATAAACTAATTTAACTCACATAAGTTATTTCTTTCTTTTTTAGACTTTTCCAGATTCTCTGTACTGGCAGCTATGGCAAACTGTCTGACTACTTATGCTGTCATTGTTCTACATCAAGGGAAGGGAGATAGCTATGAATGAACAGATTTAAAAATATAGATTAAAAGGATGTATTAGGCCCTGAAATGCCAATACAATTCTTTATAACTCAAAATAAGCTAACTTGATTCTGTTGTATTTAATACCTGCTAATTAGAAGGAAAATAATCAAATAATATTTTGTATACATGTGATTTGGTGCAGCACATTGGTGGCCTTGTTCTCAACGAGGTTGATAAACAAGCAGGATGGATGGCTGGAAGGAAAAAAAAAAGCAAAAACATATGCTCCCAAGCTGGTTGCAGCTGCTTTTTGCTTTATGGGTTTGCATGTACCAATGTGACTGAGTTTGCCTCTATTCATAAATTTGATAGAGTATTTTAGGTCCTTGAGGTAATGTCTCCCTTAGCGCTGTCTCCTTGGCTCATATATTTTAAGCTGATCTTTTCTGTTGTATTGCATTTTCCCTCAGGGGTTTCTTACTCCTATGAGCAAGATGGAGAAGAGGGTGCAGCAGTGGATGTGAGGCTGTACAGTCACCGGTGGAGGAGGTGGCTTCCCCCAAAACCTCGTAACATGGACAGTAACAGAGCCAGCCAGGAGAAGGAACAGGAGGCAGAACCAGGGGAACCTGAAGGTTTCCCCGGCCTGTTCTCTGCAGAGGACACTGATAACAGCTCCCAGATTGAGGTAAGTCTAGTAATTGTTATATTTCGGACATTAGGTGTTGCTTTTCTTTTTCAAAATTAACAAGGTAAATCAAGCTATTTTTACTAGAAATGTACATTACTTAAGGCTGCCATATAATAACAGTTTATAGACATTTAACTTTTTAAGAAGCTAGGTTTTAAAAACTGCAAAAGTCACATACATATTTCTAACCCATAGAAAAGTCTGGCCACTTTGTTGTTACATTAAACCTGTGATTAAAAAAGATTTGTTTTTACGACATAGAAAATAATATTCTCTTCTCATAAAACGCTAAGTAATTAAAAATATATGGGGAGCGGCCTTAAGGGTTTTTGTTTTTCTTAAGGGTTTAATGTTTCATATAAAATTAAGCTGAGCCTTAAGGTGTTCATATGCGGGACTGGAGCTCCTTAATTCTGACCTCAGAGAAAAATAAAGTAGGATATCAAGCTAGACTCCTGTGGGAACAGATTGGTGAACCTGCAGGAGATTAATAGCCATACTTGACCTGCATTTGAGTCTGTGGGAATGAAACGCATCAGCCTGTCCCTTGTTGTGGCGTCTTGTCTGGTTCTTTGCACTGAGGAGTTCAGCCATAATGATGGCGGCTGCCCGGGCTCAGACAGCTCGTTAAGTTTTCCTTCGGCTTCTAATCATCTCAGGTTCACAGGCGCATGTCTTGCAGCGAAGACAGAGGAAGCTTTGATCGTCAGCTGTAAACATCCACACACACACTTGTGTACATGGACCATTTCAAGCCTAACACACTAACATATTCTGTTAAGCAGGGCTAAATGACTTTGCTCGGTGGCAGCCATGCTTTTAAGATCTGTCCTTAAGAAGAATAAACCAATAAATGGACTGTGCTTTACTTAATTAGCTTTTTCATTTTAAATAGTAACTGCAGAAATATGCTTTAAAATATCATACAGAAGCAATAACCCAGAATAGAAGGAGGTGTAGATATACATATCTATCTATCTATCTATCTATCTATCTATCTATCTATCTATCTATCTATCTATCTATCTATCTATCTATCTATCTATCTATCT